CCCCTGCTCAAAGCAGGACCAATCCCCAATTAAATCATCCCAGCCAGGGCTTTGTCAAGCCTGACCTTAAAAACTTCTAAGGAAGGAGATTTCACCACCTCCCTAGGTAACGCATTCCAGTGTTTCACCACCCTCCTAGTGAAAAAGTTTTTCCTAATATCCAACCTAAACCTCCCCCACTGCAACTTGAGACCATTACTCCTTGTCCTGTCCTCTTCTACCACTGAGAATAGTCTAGAACCATCCTCTCTGGAACCACCTCTCAGGTAGTTGAAAGCAGCTATCAAATCCCCCCTCATTCTTCTCTTCTGCAGACTAAACAATCCCAGTTCCCTCAGCCTCTCCTCATAACTCATGTGTTCCAGACCCCTAATCATTTTTGTTGCCCTTCGCTGGACTCTCTCCAAATTATCCACATCCTTCTTGTAGTGTGGGGCCCAAAACTGGACACAGTACTCCAGATGAGGCCTCACCAGTGTCGAATAGAGGGGACGATCACGTCCCTCGATCTGCTCGCTATGCCCCTACTTATACATCCCAAAATGCCATTGGCCTTCTTGGCAACAAGGGCACACTGCTGACTCATATCCAGCTTCTCGTCCACTGTCACCCCTAGGTCCTTTTCCGCAGAACTGCTGCCTAGCCATTCGGTCCCTAGTCTGTAGCTGTGCATTGGGTTCTTCCGTCCTAAGTGCAGGACTCTGCACTTATCCTTATTGAACCTCATCAGATTTCTTTTGGCCCAATCCTCCAATTTGTCTAGGTCCCTCTGTATCCTATCCCTGCCCTCCAGCATATCTACCACTCCTCCCAGTTTAGTATCATCCGCAAATTTGCTGAGAGTGCAATCCACACCATCCTCCAGATCATTTATGAAGATATTGAACAAAACCGGCCCCAGGACCGATCCCTGGGGCACTCCACTTGACACCGGCTGCCAACTAGACATGGAGCCATTGATCACTACCCGTTGAGCCTGACAATCTAGCCAACTTTCTACCCACCTTATAGTGCATTCATCCAGCCCATACTTCTTCAACTTGCTGACAAGAATACTGTGGGAGACCGTGTCAAAAGCTTTGCTAAAGTCAAGAAACAATACATCCACTGCTTTTCCTTCATCCACAGAACCAGTAATCTCATCATAGAAGGCGATTAGATTAGTCAGGCATGACATTCCCTTGGTGAATCCATGCTGACTGTTCCTGATCACTTTCCTCTCATGTAAGTGCTTCAGGATTGATTCTTTGAGGACCTGCTCCATGATTTTTCCAGGGACTGAGGTGAGGCTGACTGGCCTGTAGTTCCCAGGATCCTCCTCCTTCCCTTTTTTAAAGATTGGCACTACATTAGCCTTTTTCCAGTCATCTGGGACTTCCCCCGTTCGCCACAAGTTTTCAAAGATAATGGCCAATGGCTCTGCAATCACAGCCGCCAATTCCTTTAGCACTCTCGGATGCAACTCGTCCGGCCCCATGGACTTGTGCACGTCCAGCTTTTCTAAATAGTCCCTAACCACCTCTTTCTCCACAGAGGGCTGGCCATCTATTCCCCATGTTGTGATGCCCAGCGCAGTGAAACTTCCTGCACAGTTTCAGAATATTTACTGGTATCCAACAACTCTTTGTAATAACTCTGTAGAACTGACTTGCACCACACTCTGGTAGGCTGAAAGTATGTAGAATTGTTTACATACTCTTAAGACTTTTCTTCTGGGAAGCAACAACCTGCAAAAACTGCTTACCACCATTGTTTATAATTACCATAACCTAGCCAACAGCTATGGTGCTCTAAAAGACTGTCATCACCTTGCACATGACAGCTATTTTAGCCCATGAAAGCTTATGCTCAAATAAATTTGTTAGTCTCTAAGGTGCCACAAGTACTCCTGTTCTTTTTATGACAGCTGTTGTTTGTTCAGATACCAAGGTGTAACAGATGAATATTTGATATGAAATAGAATCTGTGTAAACAGAGCATAAGAATTAGATAAATCCTCTCTAAACTCATATGCAAGGCAGGCCGTCAATAGGATTGAGGTTTTCACCCCCAGGACAAATAGCATATATGTTGTTTTAGGAGAGTGGGAATGCTGGTTTGTAAATAAGATGCAAAGAAAAACTGTTGTGTACGTGCACTTTCCAGAGAACGTTGAGTTGCAAAAACAATACAGAATCATTGTAATGTAACCAAACAATCTGGGGATGTCAAAATGGACATTTCATAAGAGACTCATCTCCTCTCTGGAGGGTACATCTGGCTGAATTCCTTTGTGGATAGGGCCCTGTGGTGAGTAGCTATAAGTAACCTGAAAGGTGTAACTGAGGGACCATGAGAAGGAAGGGGGGGAAGATGCAAGACAGTTGAGACTAGAGACCCAATCCCTGATGTGCTAACTGCTTAAGGGGGCGAGGAAGAAACTCTAAAGCTGTGGGGAGAGGATATACACCAGAAATGTAAGCTGCTACTCATGTTCCTATGCACGCTGGTTTTTATCTGCATTAGCTTTTGCAGTGTAAGGCAAGATTCGTTTTAATCTGATTTTTCTATTAATAAAACTTATATCATGACAAGCTTTGTGCTTTTGGATCTTTTTATTTGGGAATTTCATGCAGACAATCCTGAACAGGAGAATAAACCTTCTACTTCCTATTTGAGATCACAAAGAAGCAGTGCTTGGAGTCTACCTCTCGTGAGACTTATCAAAAGGACACGGACTAAAGGCTACTCACCATCAATTGTATTGCTGTAGTGCTGCAATCCAAATGAAGCATGTGAAAAACCTTATGACCATGGATGAGAACCAAATTGAAGGGCTGAAGGAATGATACAACATGATAGGTGCCTTAGAAATACCTTACATAGATTAAACTACTCTGCCAGCAAAGGCAGCCAGATTTCTATTTTTATCTGTCAAATCCTTAACAAAATGGGCAGTCTATCTTCTGCAATCATCTCTAATTATCTGAGTAGTTAATTAAATCAGGAAGGAAACTGGGAAAGTTTTCAATAACTAGATTAGAGAAAAATCTTAGAGAATGAAAAGTGAGTACAGTTGGTATCTTTAAAAATGGATGTGGGGGGAACGAACAGGGATCAGGGGGTTGGTGATGGATTATGGAGCCTTTTACCTTCACATGGAACCAGTTCTAATCTGGCCCAGGTTGGTAGTGACAGGAAATCATGGCCATTTGATGAGGATTTGACATAGTGGTTATGAATCCACATTACAAAAACTGTCTTCACAAGCACTCTTTTGGGCAATGTCATTAAGGAGGACATCGTTTTACTGATTCTATTTCAAACAGTGATCTGTGGTTTCTGTCCCGTTCTTCAGACAGCCCTCTCTTGGGATCCAATGGGCTGTGGGCAAGATAGGCAGAGCTGGGAACCGGGTGCACAATTCCCTTAAGCCCATTGGGAATCAGTGCAGGGGTTAGACTTCACAGGAGGTCCCAGGGATGCCTGAGGTTGGGACTGTGCTTTCATGGAGCTCAAAGAGGGGGGCCCCTGAGCCAGCGTAGGGGCACAGAATCTCTGGGGATAGACCTCTCCAGAAGCCATGTCTGAGATGTGCTCAGCTCTTGGAGGATCCATGAGGTTGTGGCCTGCTTCTTTTTTGAGGTAGAGAGACACAGACCACTTCCCAGAAAGGTCACCTTTAATATTTATCAGATGGAATTGTCATGCAAAGAGGAGCACGGTCAAGTACTGCTTGGGTGGGAGTGTAGAAGGGAGGGACAGCAGCATCCCCTATGCAAGTTCCCCTTTCTCCTGATCCTGTGGAAACCTCTGTGCAGGTTCTATGAGCTGTTGGGATTTCTGACTGAAAAGGGAGCGGAGCGGGAGACCAATCCCCACAGCATCACATCCCTTTATTTCCACTGGGATTGTGAAGCCTAATATAGTTATGATCTTGTCATACTGGTCGTACACTGGTTTTCTCTTAACTTAATGACATCCCTATTCCCAGAGAGCGAGACCCATGGTCCCAGAGAATAGCAAAACTCTCCTGAGAGAACTATACTGCCTTGGGAAAAGCAGATGGTCATCAGAGAGCTGTGTGTCCTGTGATTCATACTGATTTCAACAAAGCCCTCATTTTAGAGCAGTGGTCTCCAAACTTTTTGGCTCGCACACCCCCAGGGTGACCTGCCTGAGACGGAAGAAGACTGGAAGACCTGCCGCAGGCGCGCCACCCACGGAAGAAGAATGGAAGACCTGCTGCAGGCGGGCCACCAGAGGGGAACACCAGCCGCGGACGTGCAGAGCTGCCGCCAAAGAAAAAAAAACGGTGAAGGGCCATCCGGCGGCACTACTGCTGCTGCGCCCCCCCTGGAATAATCTCGCGCACCCCAGTTTGGAGACCACTGTTTTAGAAGACGAACTTCTGCCTGTACTAATCCAAGCTCCCATGATGGATCATACCTACAAGGTAAAACTCAGTTTCCTGTGCAGGTTTTTCCTGCATGGAGGACAATATGGCCCTTTATGAAAGTTTTTAAAAAAAAACCCAAAACCAGCAAAAACAAAACATCTCAAATTCTTCCTTCTGCATCCAGAAGCACTGAGTGAACTACTTCTTGGTTCAGTACTATCGCTGTTCAGCGGGTACCCTGGACTTTATTGTGAAAAGAAAGAACTGCATAGCAGAGTGTCTGGGAATTTCACAAATGTTTAAATTTACTACAAGTGTAACTGAGCAGAACAATATAAAGCAACCCTTTTTTCTTCCAAATATAGTGCATTTTAGGGTTTAATTTTGCTTTATAATACTTTTCACAGTAGCCAAATATTTAATATTTTTCTGTAACTGTGTTATTTGCAGCAAAGCATTGCCAGTATAAAGCAAACTATTGTCATTCTAACTCTAATCTAGTTTGTTTAGATTTGTGTTATTTGGCATAGCAAATATATTAACTGGTTCTTTTTGATCACAAGTATTGATATTTGTGTTTGTTGTGTTTGTTTATTCCATAAACAGTTTACACAGCTTATTGTGTTCCAAAAAATGGCAAGACATTCAGTGGTAAATGCTCTGTGGCTTTGCAAAGTAGTCCCATGTGATATCCCAGCAATGTCATGGATTAAAATTAGAACTGGGCTGGCATTACATTTCACTTAATTGGAGTCTGTATCAGAGACAGACATAAGTAACACAGAAAAGATTCATAACCTCGCTCTGCTCTTGCATAGAAATCAATGAGTCGTGGAAAATCTGTGAATACAGCAAATGATTTAGGTAAGTTCTAAAATGCTTCCATATGTCTGGAAGTGAATGTGGGGAGGTGATCATGGGCAGGAGCTCTGGTTACAAGACAGTACATTTGCAGTTATTTTACAGCTAAAATTGTGAATGCACTTCTGAATTGCTGGCAGTTCATGATCGCTATTGTATTATCATGTCTACCAGAAAGAAGGATAAAGGGTGGGGTCAAAACGTTCTTCTTTCAGCTTTTCATAGTCTTCTCGTTACATACTTACATCTGTTTGAAAACAAAAGCCTATACTTGGGATCACATGTGTTCCATGATTTCTGTAGCTGTGCAATTTACTGAAGAATCCACCATCTGCCACAGAACCTTCAAATTTTTAGTATTACAAGTAGCATTGGAAGTCCCAGTCAGGGGCTGGGGGCCCCTTAAGTTAGGTAGCAAACACAGTTCCTGACATGACATAAGTTTATAGTACAAGAATTTGAACTGAATGTCAACTGCTGGAATGTTGTTTTCCCAGTCTCCAAACAGCCTAAAATAATAGTTATGAGAAGCAGGAACTGACTGAGCTGTCTCCATGAGAGTTAACTCTGAAGCCTAATAATAATAATTTAAATTCAGTTATGAATCATTTAACAGAAACCTTTAGCTAATGTGTATAGTCATGTTGGGTGCAAACGCAGATACTGGGATGAGGAGCAGTGCGTAGCTGGTTACTGGTAAGGGCTACTGGGGTGGGGAGTTAATCCCTGAATATACATCAGGATGTTTGTGTTCATACCCATGGGGGGGAGAGAAGAAGAGGAAGATGCATCCATTCTCCATTGCAAAAAAAGCCTTAGCTACTTTTTGGGAGTGCCAAAACTAAACTACCTCTCACACCTTCCTGGGCATCAGCAGCCCCAGCTGTCAAAACCTCTATCTTCCCCTCAACAGCTTCTATTCTGACAGCACGTTAAGCATTAGCAGTGCAAAAATAGTTGGGCCAAATTCTTTTTTACATCATTGTAGCTCCAGAGGAACTTCATTCTCCAGTCTATACGTTCTTTCCAATGAGGAGCCATTTTCAAGTCTTCATTTCTTTATACTTTTTCTACCTTTTTGTATTCTTCTATATTTCTTTGATGTAAGTCCCTATATACAATCTGGCTATTGATACACCACTGCAATAATAAGAGAAAGGGAAAACTTAGTAGAAAGGGAAAACATTATCAGCTTGGCTGCAGAAATATCTAGCAAGTAGGTACCAAATAGCCATTGTAGTGCAGCAGCTGGTTTGGCTCTGCCACCTTTAAAAGGCCAGCTAAAAGAAAAGCGTGCTGGGAAAGATTCATTCAGACAAGTGACTCTGCACTGGCCATTGGAAGAAAGATACTTATAGGGAAAAGATTGATATTTCCCTTTCGTTGTTGGAGGGCAAGCTGTCTATCTGGCTGAAAAAAAAACGTTCTCAGGCTTTTCAGACTGGAGCAGGGTGTTTGAGACAGTATTCCCTCACTCTCTCCCACCAAGTAGGAGGCATTTATAATAAAAAATAAGATGCAATGTTTAGTGTGGGCTTAGCATTACTACAGAGACCTGCAAATCTATATGCCCATCCTGAACCCCAATCTAACCCTGCCCCAAACTTTGGGAGAGTTCAGTGCCAGATCTGAACTTCATGGTTCTAGCCCATTACTAGAATACAAAAACCCGATACAAGAGTGGCTGAGAGGAACCGTTCCAGGCAGGAGCACAGGAATGACCAGGTGTCCTTCCTGTCAGGCACTGGTACCAGAATGTTCAAGAAGCCTTCGAACAGGCTATTATTAGTAGCTGGCCTATATGGCAGCTTTCTTCCTAACCCCAGGCAATTATTGGTTGACTGATCCCCTGAAGCATAAAGGTTAACCCTTATACTTTTTAATCTTGGTTTATGTCACTGTGGATGTTCTCACAATCTGTATTAGACTCTGACCTTTTTTGAATCCTACCAAGCTCTTGGACTCAATGACAGCTCATGGCAGTGAATTCCACAGGCTAATTCTGTGCTGAGTGGAATGTATGATCTTCTCGCTGTTTTTACCTTTCAACTTAATTGAATATTGGAATTGGAAAAGGGTCAGAAAAGAGCAACAAAAATTATTAGGGGTATGGAACGGCTTCCGTATGAGGAGAGATTAATAAGACTGGGAAAAGAGACAACTAAGGGGGGATATGATAGAGGTCTATAAAGTCATGACTGGTATGGAGAAAGTAAATAAGGAAGTGTTATTTACTCCTCATAACACAAGAACTAGGGATCTCCAAATGAAATTAATAGGCAGCAGGTTTAAAACAAACAAAAGGAAGTATTTTTCCACACTATGCACAGTCAACCTGTGGAACTCCTTGCCAGAGGATGTTGTGATGGCCAAGACTATAACAGGGTTCAAAAAATAACTAGATAAGTTCATGGAAGATCGATCTCCCAAAGGCTATTAGCCAGGATGGGCAGGGATGGTGTCCCTAGCCTCTCTTTGCCAGAAGCTGGGAATGCGTGACAGGGGATGGATCACTTGATGATTACCTGTTCTGTTCATTCCCTTTGGGGCACCTGGCATTGGTCACTGTCGGAAGACAGGATACTGGGCTAGATGGACCTTTGGTCTGGCTGTTCTTCTCTCCTTATTCTTGTATTATATGACGAGGTAACTAGGAACACATGATTAAATATTCTATATACGTGACAGGAGTCAGTTGACGTGAGTTCCATCAGCTCTGCTTACTGATTGATTGTGTTTAATTAATCAAACAGGCATATCAATTTTTTTACCTTGATGTCTCCTTCTGGCATGTCCAGCTCATATGTTGGATTATAATGATGATGGCAATCAGTGTACTACTATTCAAAAGCAGATACCTATGGCTGAACTGGAATGTGTAAGAACCATGACTGAAACTGCACCATGCATTGGCTCGTTCTCTGCTGTTAAGACACTTTGGGAAGTGAGAATTCAGAAAATAAATGAAGAACTACGGAAGGAAAAGGAATTCAGACAGAGGGCTGTAGGCAGGTATGTTCCTAAGCAGTTAGGAAGAAATGTGAAACTAAACACAGGAGATATGGTTGGTCTTTTCTGGAACATGCAAGATCCAATCCTGCAATTTTTGAGGTTTTAAAATTCTCATTGAAAGGAATCTGATTGTAGACTCAGGTCTACCGGAGAATTACGTTCAACTGAAGATAGAAATTAGTGCATCTGTTGATTCTACTGGCATATATATCAAACTACAATAGTGTCCACTGTCTTCATAGAGCTGCACTAGTGTTAAAGAAATTCTTCATGTTTTTATAGCACGAGTTGTTGACAAGTGCCCTCCATTTAGAAACAGTCTCCACTTAATATTATTTTGCTCTCTTAACTTTAGTTATTAGTCTATGATGACTTGCATGAACTTTACTTGAATTCAAGCGGACTTCATACATATGGATGTAAAGAAGTCAACTCTCCTTTGTCTGTGACCAGATTACTGTCTGTGGATGGATAATCTATGTTATAGCAGCTAGAGGCTGTGTAATTGAAAAGATTAAGGAAGTTTAGTGCTTCTCCCACCCATAAAAAAACTACAAGCTTCCCTTAAAATGAATGATCTTTGGGTCAGTCCCCTTACATTATTTTTTTCCCCTGTTGTTCTTGGTGAAACATTATAAAACTTGATGGAAGAAATTAGTTTATCTCTATAAAATAATTTACTTCATACAGATTTTAAAATATGATTTCACAGAATTGCAAAACATTTTACACTACCCAAAACATTAGAATGCCTGTAAATGCTCTAAGCCAATGAACTGCTACATTTTCAGCCCTCCCAAAGAGTATCTAGCATCCCATGAAGATAAATACTTGTCTGACCTCCATGAAGGCTTCTCGCCAAAAAGAGGCAATCAAAATAGGATAGTAAATGTTGCTCATATTAATAGCTGCACAACTAAAAAGAGTTCTTTGTTTTGTAGACTGACGCTTGTCTGGGAAGAAAGAGTCAGTTTAGCCAAGCTCAAAGAAAAAGTCATCACTGAAGATGGAAGGGTTATATTAAAGATAGAACAAGAAGAATGGAAGGTAATATTAATAGGAAATTGTTTGGGTTGCATGGTTAGTGATTACAGAGTTAAGCTATTTTACATCTTTAGCCCAGCTTATATTACTTTTATATTATATTATATTATATTACTTATCTTACTTTTCCTCTATTAAGTACCCACAATATGCTCAGCACAGTACACAGATGATCAGGGACAGAGAGTTGAATTATTGCTGTGAATGTAAATAAAACCTGATTGTATTGAAACTAAACTTGCTTATTCTAACAGAAGAATATTGAATGCTAAGTAATTTCACCACTAACCCACAGCCCAGAGTCTTCCAACATGAACAGGAAAACTTAATGGTATTTTATGTCTTGTGCATTTAATTCAAGAAGTATTAATTTTGCTAATGCCCCAGAACTACACAGATATATATTGTAATGTGAAAGTCACGTGTTGTAAACAAAATGAAAAGATTTCTTGGGGTTTTTTCTCTTCTCTTTCTAAGGGTGAAATTCATCCAATGGCATAGAGGCTCTCAGAACAGTGGGACCACTATGGTTCCAGTGCATGAAAGGTGGGCAGCTGCAGAGTATGCGGCAGGGTGGACCCTGCAGGTTGCAGTACTGGCTTTATGCTAGTTCCAGTGTCCACCATGAAGGAGAAGTTGAAGACAAGATGCCTGAGCCAATTTTCCTTTTAAGTCATTGGGAATCTTTCCATTGGCACTGATGGGAGTTGGATCAGGTACAGGCTGGTGAAGGTGTGACTTCAGTTTACACTGTAACAGCCATGGTGCCTGCTCCAGTCCAGGGAGGTGATATGTCTTACACAGCAGTTTGGGAAAGATTTAATTCCCTACAAACCACAGTCCCTCCATCCCACACAAATCCTGTATAACCCACTCAGAGCATTGAATTTCAAACTAAATTACTAAATCTATTCTATAATCATTTTATAGCAAGCAATTATTTAGAAATGTTGTACAATCTTGGAAGTTATAGGTATATAAAATATACCTTTTTAAATATAAAACATGTAAATACATTCTACAGTGCAGTTACCTAACAATGTCATTTTGTTTTGAACAGATGTTATAAAATCCACATGACAGACTCTAAACATCATTTAAGTTCAAACATTTTTGTTTGTTTTGGTTCTGGGATCTTGCATTGCTGTCTTAGCAGTGCAGGTGCCTAAGTTCTGGGTGCAAACAGAAGGGCTGGTTATTCTTGAGGTGTAATGGGAATTAATTTTTGCATGTTATATGGTCTACTGATCAGAAAAACAAAACTGTTTCCTTCCTCTCTAGCGTAACTCTAAATGTCCATTTTTCCAAAATCTTCCTATACTAACAATTAGTCTATTGTCATTCCATAAACTCAGTGGAATTTCCTTCTGATTTTATTTTTTATTATTTTTAGATGTTACCTTCTTGCTTACTGAAACTGAACCACCTCCAGGAATGGCAGCTTCACAGAATTAGTTTGGTGAAAATTCCTGAATTCATTGGAAGGTTTCAAAATCTCATTGTACTGGACCTATCCCGAAATGCCATTGAAAAGGTACCTAAAGAGATTGGTAAGTGGTATTTAAAAACAACAACAAAAACAAGCCATTCTGTGTTACTGGGGGTATGTCTACACTACGAAATTAGGTCGATTTTATACAGTCGATTGCGTATGTCTCCACTAAGCGCATTAAGTCGGCAGAGTGCGTCCTCACTACCGTGGCTAGGATCGACTTACAGAGCTATCCCACAGTTTCTGCAGTCTCTGCTGCCCATTGGAATTCTGGGTTAAGCTCCCAGTGCCTGATGGGGCAAATACATTGTTGCAGGTGGTTTTGGGTACGTCTTAAGTCGCCCCTCCCTCCGTGAAAGCAACGGTAGACAATCATTTTGTGCCTTTTTTCCTGGGTTACCCGTGCAGACGGCATACCACTGCAAGCATGGAGCACGCTCAGCTCACCGTCACCGCTGCTGTTGTGAGCATTGTAAACACATTGCGCATTATTCTGGAGTATATACAGAACCAGGCTAAGAGATGCTAGCAAGAGGAGGATTTTGATGAGGACATGGACACAGATGTTCCTGAAAGCATGGGCTGTGGCAATTGGGACCTCATGGTGGCAGTGGGGCTGGTTGATACAGTGGAACACCGATTCTGGGCCAGGCAAACAAGCGCAGACTGGTGGGACCACATAGTGTTGCAGGTATGGGATGATTCACAGTGGCTGTGAAACTTTTGCACGCATAAGGCCACTTTCCTGGAACTCTGTGAGTTGCTGTCCCCCACCCCGAAGTGCAGGAATACCAAGATGAGAGCTGCCCTGACAGTTGAGAAGCGAGTGGCGATAGCCATGTGGAAGCTTGCAACGCCAGACAGCTACCGGTCAGTCGGGAATCAATTTGGAGTGGGCAAGTCTACTGTGGGGGCTGCTGTGATTGCAGCCAATGCAATCATTGATGTTCTGTTATCAAGGGTAGTACCTCTGGGAAATGTGCAGGTCATACTGGATGGCTTTGCTGCAATGGGGTTCCCAAACTGTGGTGGGGCGATAGACAGAACGCATATCCCCATCTTGGCATTGGACCACCTTGCCAACCAGTATGTGAACCGCAAGGGGTACTTCTCAATGGTGCTGCAAGCACTGGTGGATCACAAGGGACATTTCACCGACATCAACGTGGGATGGCCAAGAAAGATGAATGACGCTCGCATATTTAGGAACTCCGGGCTGTTCAAGCAGCTGCAAGAAGGGACTTACTTCCCAGACCAGAAAATTACCATTGGGATGTTGAAATGCCAATAGTTATCCTTGGGGATCCAGCCTACCCCTTGCTCCCATGGCTCATGAAGCCTTACACAGGCAGCCTGGACAGTAGTAAGGAGCAGTTCAACTATAGGCTGAGCAAGTGCAGAATGGTGGAAGAATGTGCCTTTGGACGTTTAAAAGCTTGCTGGCGCTGTTTGCTGACTAGATCAGACCTCAACGCAACCAACATTCCTATTGTTATTGCTGCTTGCTGTGTGCTCCATAATATCTGTGAGAGTAAGGGGGAAGACATTTATGACAGGGTGGGAGGTTGAGGCAAATTGCCTGGTGTCCGATTTTGAGCAGCCAGACAGCAGGGCAATTAGAAGAGCATGGCAAGGCGCACTGTGCATCAGAGAGGCTTTGAAAACCAGTTTCATGACTGGCCAGGCTTCGGTGTGTCAGTTGTGTGTGTTTCTCCTTGATGCAAACCCACCCCCTTTGCTCATTTTAATTCCCTGTAAGCCAACCACCCTCCCCACTTCTAAATAAAGTAACTATTGTTTTGAAACCATGCATTCTTTCTTTATTAATTAAAACAAAAATGAGATAACGGACAAGGTAGCCCAGGTGGGGTGTGGGAGAAGGGAAGGACAAGGCCACATTGTTTATTGTAGCCACGCTAAAAATCAAACTGTTTGAATGACAGCCTTCTGTTGCTTGGGCCATCCTCTGGAGTGGAGTGGCTGGGTGCGCAGAGCCTCGCCCCCCCATGTTTTTGGGCATCTGGGTGAGGCGGCCATGGAACTTGGGGAGGACGGCATGCGGTTATGCAGCGGGGGTCTGTGCTCTTGTTGGCTTTCCTGCAGCTCCAACAGATGCTTCATCATCTCCGTTTGCTCCCCCAACAGACACTTCATCATGTCCAAAAAGAAAAGGAGTACTTGTGGCACCTTAGAGACTAACAAATTTATTTGCGCATAAGCTTTCGTGAGCTACAGCTCACTTCATCGGATGCACTGTAGCTCACGAAAGCTTATGCTCAAATAAGTCTGTTAGTCTCTAAGGTGCCACAAGTACTCCTTTTCTTTTTGCAAATACAGACTAACATGGCTGCTACTCTGAAACCTTTCATCATGTCCGTTTGCTCCCCCATTAGCCTCAGCATCGCGTCCTGCCTCCGCTCTTTGCGCTCACTTAATTCTTTCCTGGTCTCTGCCACTGAATGCCTCCATGTATTAAGCTGTGCCCTATCAGTACGGGAGGACTGCATGAGCTCGGAAAACATGTCATTGCGAGTGCGTTTTTTTCGCCTTCTAATCTGCGATAGCCTCTGGGACGGAGATGATAGGGGGAGCGTAGAAACATTTGCACCTGGGAAGAGATAAAAAGGGAGAGTAAAATTTAAGATGATACATTTCAGAGAACAAAAGGGAGACTCTTCCACAGTGAGTCAAGCAATTCACAGCAGACAGCACATGTGCTTTAGATACAAGGTCCCATTTGACCGTTTATAGTGCGCACCTGCCGGTAGGGTGACACATCACACACGGCTGGGCAACAGAATTCGGTTTCCAGTCAGCCATGGTAAGCCTTTTGGTACGCAGGGTTGGCTTCTTATGCCTTCATAACATGTGGGAATGTTTTCAAACTGCAGTGCCCTCCTTTCCCAGAGCAAGCAATGGATTGGGTTTCACATTTAAAAGGAGGGGTTGCGGTTTTCGGGTGGATGTGCAGCACACGCCTCACCCCACCCCACCATGTGTCTGTTCTCCAGGATGATCCCTTTTAGCCAAGCGCAAACAGCCCAGCATGAACAGGGTCCTTTTACTGTTCCCTTACAAAAATTCCCCTATTTCAACCAGGTGACCATGAATGATATCACTCTACTGAGGCTAACACAGAAAGATATAGACCGAATGTTGCTTGAATGCGACCAAAACCCAGGACCATTCGTTGCCATGCTTTGTGCTGCAGTGATTCCAGAATACTTGGTGTGGTAAAGTGTCATACCGTGGAGGAGGAAATAAGGCAGCCCTCCCCAGAAACCTTCTGCAAAGGCTTTCAGAGTACCTCCAGGAGATCATCCCAATTCTTCAGGGCAAATCAAACATTAAACACAATTGCTTTTAAACCCTGTACTGTAGTTACAAATGTTCACTCACCAGAGGTGCCTTCTCTGGCTTTGGGGTCGGGGATCCCGCTAGGGAGGGTATTGGCTCCAGGGTGATGAAAAGGTCCTGGCTGCTGGGGAGAACGGATTCACCGCTTGCCTGCTGTGCATTCTCCTCCTCCTCATCCCCCAAATCCTCCTCCCTGTTGTGTGAGACACCCCCCTTGGAGGTGTCAACAGACAGTGGTGGGGTAGTGGTAGGGTCCCCTCCTAGAATGCCATGCAGCTGATCACAGAAGCGGCATGTATGGGGCTCTGACCCGGAGCAACCGTTTGCCTCCTTTGTCTTTTGGTAGGCTTGCCTGAGCTCCTTAACTTTCAAGCAGCACTGCTGTGTGTCCCTGTTGTAGCCTCTGTCCAACATGCCCTGTGAGATTTTGGCAAATATATTTGCATTTCTTCTTTTTGATCGGAGTTTGGCCTGCACAGATGCTTCTCCCCATACAGCAATCAGATCCAGTGTCTCCCTTTTGGTCCATGCTGGAGCTCGTTTGCAATTCTGGGGGGACTGCATGGTCACCAGTGCTGCTGAGTTTGCCACACTGACCAAACAGGAAATGAAATTCAAAAGTTCCTGGGGCTTTTCCTGTGTACCTGGCTAGTGCATCAGAGTTCAAAGTGCTGTCCAGAGCAGTCACAATGGAGCACTCTGGGATAGCTCCCAGAGGCCAATTCCATCGATTTGCGTCCACATTACCCCAAATTCGACCCAGCAAGGTCTATTTTAGCGCTACTTCCCTCGTCAGGGAGGAGTACAAAAGTCCATTTTAAGAGCCCTTTAGGTCGATGGAATGGGGTTGGTTGTGTGGACGCAGTCATTCTTAAATCGACCTAATGCGGCTAAATTCGACCTAACCCCATAGTGTAGACCAGGCCTCAGTTGGAGCACTGCTTCTGGATTAAGCAGCTGTCACACCAAATCCCATAATTTTCATTAACTGCGTTTTTATTTCAAGTAGACCAAGAGCACTCACACTACGCTAATGAGCCAACACAATACAGTAAGGTTTAACCCCTGTACTTCACAGCTGAAAGGTTTAATTTATTCCTCAGACCCAATATTCAGGTGCATTCTCTTTGATTATTGCCTTTGCAGGCCAACTGCCTAACCTCCAAGAGCTGCTTCTCAGTTATAATAAAATTAAGTCTGTTCCGAAAGAGCTAAGTAACTGCATCAGCCTGGGAAGACTGGAACTGGCTGTGAACAGGGATATCTGTGACCTTCCACTTCAGGTTTGAGAAGAACCATTACTTTTATTTATAGGTATCTATTAAATGTTTTCACTAGCTAAAAAAATTATTCTCAGGAAAAAAATGTGAACTTCTGTTTTCTTCTAGACTTTAAAATGACATAGTACACTTCCACTGGAAAGTCTTGCACGAACTGTCCAACAGATGGGTTGTTTTCACTTTATTTTTAAAACATTGATTTTACAAATATTTAACAATATGCATAAACTTTGTTTATATGAGTAGTTCCATGGGAGCCAATGGGACTAACCACATGAGTAACTAAATTTTGGCAGGAACTGAGCCTAATTTTGCAAAGGCTTACAGGGGAGTATATAAATAATAGGCCAGCAGCTTAGCTGGTGTAAACTGGCATCAGGCCATTGATTTTAATTAAACTATGCTGTTTTACAGCAGCTGAGGATCTGGTCCACTGGCTCAAGTATGACCTTAGAGAAGTCACCTTTAAGGGTGAGAACATAGTTCAGGGTGGCCAAACTGTGGCTCGCGAATCATAGGTGGCTATTTTACAGTTAAAGTGTGGCTCGCGGATCCCCCATATCCTCTGCCTACCAGACTGGGGTTGGGGGGGAGCTTGGGGCTTCTGCCCTGCGGCAGGGAGGTTGGGCTAGGGGCTTCTGCCTCGTGGGGCATGCTTGCCAGCACTTGGAGCTTCAGCAGAAGCGGGTCTGAAGCCCTGAGCTCTGCCAGGCAGCTCCTGCGTGGCTGAAGCCCTGAGCCTCGGCAGGCGCATCCCATCTCTCGAACTTCTGAAGATTGTCATGTGGCTTGGAGGGTGAGTAAGTTTGGCCACCCTGGCATAGTTCATTCCCTCCCCATTCAATTACTGGTCTCTCTACAAAGACTGCTGCTTGTGATAGTGATTTGTGTGATACAGACAGCTGCATGTGCACAAGGAAGTGAATTAACTCCTTTCACAGATACAGAACAGCTGAGTGTAATAACTTTTGCTCTCTGCTTACCTGGGCTGAATCGTAACCGATGACATACATGTGAAAAGGGATCCATATCTCCGTATCAGTCCCATGGCTACAAAGTAACCAAATACTTCTGATATTTATTTGTTACAAAAATTATAGCACTGACAGGTATTAAAGTAACCTCAATTCCCACAGACTTTACTGGAGACTGAGGGTGCTCAGTGCCTTGCAGAATTAAGTCCAAACATTAAGTCTGTAAAACTGACAAATGGGAGCTTTAAAATAAATAAATATAGAATATTAACTGAATACCAGACATTACCAAATTTATCTGGCTGTTGTTTGACTAGCAATGTTAGCAATATTTTATAATAGGGTGACCAGACGTCCTGATTTTATAGGGACAGTCCTGATATTTGGGGCTTTGTCTTTTATAGGCTCCTATTACCTCCCACTCCCTGTCCCAATTTTTCACACTTGCTGTCCGGTCACCCTATTTTATGAAGTCAAGTGAATGTTTCCTGACAAAAAAAAAATTTTAAGACTCTAGACCAGATTCTTATTTATACTGAAGTCCCTTTACATCACTGGAGCAATAGTGTAAATGAGATTCTGGCCCTCTGTCTCATCTCATACAACTCAGAATCACTTGTCTGGCATGGATTCCAGAACATGTTGTATTTTCAGAATTTTTCTGTCTTTGTGGCCAAGATGGTTAAAGAGCAGCTCTGATAGAACACCACTTAATGCACATTTGTACAGACTGTGCAGTAAGGAATCATATTAATGAGTCTTCCCTTTTCTATTTAGCTCAGTGACCTAAAGAAGCTTTACCATGTAGATCTGAGTATGAACCAGTTTACTACCATCCCTTCAGCTCTCCTGAACATGCCAAGTCTAGAATGGTTAGACATGGGGAGCAACAAACTTCAGCAACTCCCTGATACCATTGACAGGTAAAAAAACATTCTTAGTTTTAATTCCATTGCACTGAAAATCTAGTTACCCAACTCTGTTCTAAAATATTAACAAGTATCAAAGTTGACTTTATAACAAAATTAAGCAAGCTACTTAACATTGTGCTGCTTATTCTAAAATGGCATCATCTACTTATACTGTTAAAATAACTGGAATATCTCAAAGCAGAATATTTCATTACGAGAACTAATTTTTTTTTTTGTTCAGAAGGAAAATTGCTTGTAACTGAGTTGATACTTAATAAGACATTAAATTCCTGTTGTCAAGTTAAATCTTGCTGTAGAAATTTTCAACTCTGAAACCTATCTTTTACCTGTGTTCCTAAGATTAATGTCCTTTTTAGACAATCAATGCATCCCTATGTTAAAATATAATTTAAAAAGTTGATTTTTCTTGAATATATATCTACATATGTTCTACATAATTGTTCTAGGTTTGCCATATTTGGTAATTTTGTGTCTGTGGGAGAAAAGGCTTTCAAATGTATCACACTGTATCATCAAAATTTCCACCAATCAGTGGTGTGGAGCTGGGGAGGGCAGCACATCCCTTCTACTATGCCGTAGGGTGACGCCATTGAACATGTGCATGAGCCAAGGATGCAGATGCCAATTTCTGCATCCCCTTCAAACTTAGTCATCCCACTAGTTAGCCCAGCTCTCTGTTAAACTGTACAAACTACATGTTCAACATAGGAACCGTTTTAAGAAGTGATATAAATAAAGTTCAGATGAAATCACTGAAATTATGATTCTGTAGATTTTATGAATCAAATGACACCTCCCTTACCTTTCTGTCATTAACTTGCCCACAGAATTACACATGCTCCAAGACTGTTAAGCGTTACTGCATTCTTTATATCAGATACATGACAGTTGAAGTGAATCAACTCCTTTAAATTAATAGTTAATCATCAAGTATTCCCTAATGCTGGATTAATTGTAGAAACCTCTACTTCTACAGAATGGAGAACCTACATACTTTATGGCTCCAACGGAATGAAATAACCCATTTACCAGACACCATCAGTAATATGAAAAATCTGAGTACGCTTGTCCTCAGCAACAACAAACTCCGGGATATTCCTGCTTGCATGCAACAAATGACAAATCTCAGGTAAAATATCAACAACACTGCAGGCACCTGAAGGCTGCCTTTAAAAATTCCCCTACATCATATGGTGCAGACTGCTGTATAACAAAGAGGAGATAGGGAGCCAGATCCTCAGCTGGTGTGAACTTGTATAGCTCCATTGAAATCAGTGGAACTACAGATTTATGCCAGGTGAGAATCTGGCCCAGAAAGTTTTGTGACAGTTTTGAGTTCCTTCATTTCACCAAATGGATTTATTGCAAATGTAAATATTTAGAGTCCCAAAGATTAAAGGAATCTTTAGGCTCTTCTTGATCTGTGAGGGTTGTGGATGCTGGCTTTCAGTGGAACAGTTGGGCATCACTATTTTAGCCTCTCTCATAACACAAGAACAAGGGACAAAAATTGAAAAGCAACAATTAGAAACTAATAAAAGGAGAACTTTTTATAAAACATACATTTCACCTGGGGAATTCACTGCCACAAGGTATCAGTGAGGTCAAGAACCTAAAATCCTTCAAAAAAGGATGTTAGGATATGAATGAGAATATCTGTTTATATTTGAGGATAAAAATGTGTGAGCTATAAATCTTAATGCTTCAAGATGCTAACTAGGAACTGATAGGGGAAAACTCATTTCGAATCCTCATGGGCAGATTGTTTTTTTATTCACTATGGCAGGGTTCTTGTTGCTTTCTCTTAAGTATTTGGTATTCACCATTCTCAGAGACAGGATACCAGACTAAGGCTATGTCTCCACTGAAAGCTGAGGGTGTAATTCCCAGCTTGCGTACACGTACCTGAGCAAGCGCTGCTTGAGCTACTACGATAAAAATAGCAGTGCAGCCAGGTAGCATGAGCGGGGGCTCGGGATAGCCAGTTGAGTTCATACCCACCTGGTCTGATGCAGTATGGCAAATCCTAGGTTTCAAGTTATCTGGGGATGCTACTATATCTAGGGATGCATAAACTCTGCAGCAGGTTTTCATGACCAAAAATAAAAATTCTCATGTGCAATAGATCTAATTTTAATATTTTGTTCTGGTTTCAGAGTGAACATTTGCTTCTGTATCCGGATGTCAAAATATTATGAAAATGTATAACGTTATCTTACTGTGCAGTACAAACATGTACTTAAATAAACACAGGGATAGTAAGAACACCAGAATTTGTTCACTGGAGATCCTAGATTTGCTTGAACTGGCCTTGGCACTGATCACAGGTACTAAGGCCTAAATTTTCAAGTGTGTGCACAAAATATTAAACATGATAGGGATTCCTTGTTAAACTGTACAAACTACAAGTTTGGTACAGAAACCATTTTAAGAAGTGATGTAAATAATGTTCAGATGAAGACTATTTCTAAATCAGTTAAGAAAAACACATAACACACTACCATCAAGTAGAGAAACTACTTGAAAGATAATGTCCTGAGAAATTGCCCTTAATTACATTTTCTTTTGCTGAAGCACTGTTCAGTGAAGCCTAATTTAGTTTTCAAACAGTTATTCTCTGTTGGGGGGGAAAGGACCTCCGAGAGTCATGTTTTCTGTTGAATTACCAGATTTGTCAACTTCAGAGACAACCCACTGCAGCTGCAGGTAACACTTCCCCCATGCAAGAATACTGAAGAGGAGGAGGAACGGGAACTGTTTGGTATTCAGTTCATGCATATGTATATTCAAGAGTCACTCAGCAGAGCAGGTATGAGATTTGTATTGCCTGTAACTAGAGTATGAATAATAAATATTAGAAAACATTAAAATGCAGTCAAGCAGAATTAGGGTGTATCTACACTGGAGCTGGAAGGTGTGAATTCCAGCTTGAGGAGACATACATGAGCTAACATGCTAAGAACAGAAATGTAGTTACCCCGAATATGATCCTGGTACATACTTAACTAACAAGCCTTTCCTGCCATGTGTTCCACTGTGGTGACACTTCTATTTTTAGCTCACTAGCTTAATCACAGCTAGAACAGATATGTCTCCTTGAACTGGAAGTTACACCTTCCAGCTCCACAGTACACATATGCTTAGAGAAAGAGGAGTGTGGCTCCCCACCTTTCTTTGCCTGGGGGGAGCTCAACTGCCCCTTCATTCTTGGATGTGCTGTGAAGACTCACGAGGTAGGAAACACTGAAGAGGGAGTAGCAGGAGAAACTGATGCTTTTGTCAGAGTTTCTGGAGTTCCCAGCATTTCCTGCCAATAGGTGGAAAAACACCAACATGTAATGAGGAAATACGAGGTGTTTCCAGGAAGATCTAGTCACCTAAGTGAAATAAAGTAGCTATTTCACCCCATTTCCTCATGGAAAAGTAGCCATACAACAAAGCACATCAACTAGCACTGTCTGCTGAGAGATAAGGACTGGACAATGAATTGCCCACAGAGGCTGTAAATGAAGGTTAGGATTGAGTTACATTAGCAGAGTATCATGAGCCAGTGGCCTTTGCTATATCCATTATGTGAACACTGAATTTCACTGATGCCAGGTATCAATATTTCATCTCATTAAGTTCACTCACATATTATGAAAGCTTAAAACAAACTGCTAAAATAATGAGGTTAACTCGAGAGATCATGTCAATTTCAGATTTTATTCCTCTCCATGTCAAAGCTTTATGCATGGGTAGGTGATTACTAAAATAATGAGGTGGCATTTGATTTCCAACTAAATGTTTTTCTTTAGACAATTCCACAAATAGTCAGAACTTGTGAAATAAAATTCTAGGCATAGAAAACAAGATAAAAACCCTCATGAAGTTCAAAATGGAGACAGGTTATTAAGCATATCCATTTCTTACATTTTAATTTATTATCTTTCAGAAAACCTGGACAACTGTATACCCGTTGCTTCTGCCACCATTAATGATAATGAATAAAAAATTACACAACCTGCCAAACTGAACTTTTGTACTTGGAGGAAAATATAAATTCTACTTCTTCTGAACAGAGAAAACTACAGCAATATCGCAGTGTGCTGAGACAAAAATGCCTTATGACTTTCACACTGCTAGGAGTCACCTGGCATCTTCTTGTGATTCCAAAAGAAATTTAAGTTCAATGCTATTGTAGGTACAGAAAGTCTACAAAATTTTTTGTACAAGTACTGAAATCTGTGAATAAGGTTTTAAAAAAATCCAGAGAAGTTTTGTAGAGTTCTGTGTCCTGCCCATTCCAAATCTGTCTCCCATTATGCAGTTGGCTGAGGTACTGAAGATTGACTTGGTACAGCTGTCAAGAGTACATTCTCCAAGGAAACAGTAGAATCTGTATAGTATTGTAATGCAGCATTGTATCCTCTCTGTTGTAAATATTTGATCCGTCCCTGGTCAATCAAGAGTTTACAAAGACGACCTATCTGCTTTCGTTCTTCAACAGTAAGTAGCCTAGCTCCAAAAAGAAAAACCATGAATTAGTCAGCACAAATGGTTCAAGATCAGAAAAGCTGTAAAAACTGTAACTGATGCACTTCAATGCAGATAAAGTGTGACTGTTTTGGAATAAGATTTTGAAGACTATTATGTCACTTAAATTTGCATGTACTACAGATGGATATGTTTCTGTAAAATGAGCCATTCTGACATTCTAAAATGCTTAATCTTTCAGCTATAAATGACTGTCTAATCCATTATTTCTGCCTTCCCCAAGATGTCTACATGCTACAAATAAAAAATCACCTACCCTTGCAGACTATCAGAACTGCACTCAATTCTGTTGTTTACTTGGTCATGTTCTTCTGTATCACTGCTTTGGTCTTTGCTCTTTGCATCAATGGTAGAGGCTTCAGTGATGGTTTCTTGCATGCCACAAGTGGCCCAGCTAGTCATTCTCTGAAAATAATTAAATTCCACTGGCCCAAGTCCCACTGTTCTAAAGAACTCTTGGCCTACATAATGCTTCCACTGACACCTGTGGTGGCAACACAGTGCAATAACAATTCCAGCTACAGGATTCCAGTTTTCTGAAACATTCTTTCCACTCCTTTCATCAGCAGAATTGTTAAAAGCTAGGTCTGTTTTATCACTCTTGAAACGTTTAGGTGAAGGGTCTTCATTTCTTTCATCATATTGGGTTGCGTAACTTTCAACCAAACATCTCAGAGCAAGATCTGTGAACAAACAACTATGTTTTAAAAACACTCTTGAACAGTATGCTGCACTTATACACAAAGATAGGAAAGGAACTTTCCTCAAAAATAAGGGGAGGATAAAAGCACTTTATAAAGTAATTCCAAAAGCAACAAGTTGATAAAGTTTATTTAAATATTGTCACGTACTTTAAAATGAAATGAATTTATATATTTCAAGTTCAGTTTACCAAGTATTAACGTATTTACAAAATCACAATAAACCCACTGTGACACTCTGTACCTCAAATAGCAACCTGGAGCCCCCATATTCACCACTGTGATACAATTATGACAAATTTTTTGTACAATGCATGCCTTGTGAAGTATCATTTTAAAAGTCTTGATCTGTTACACGAACATCCTGTTTGGATTGTATGTACTATCATTTTATGTGAAGTTATAAAGTATTGCTATATGTGCTAATGAAATATGTTGTGAAGTTTGTAGATGCCTACAGCTGGCCTTTCAGTATGGACAAAGGAGCAACAATCACTGGCCAGACAGGCGTTAACAGCTCATCAAGAAAAATCCAATATCCCAGAGGCTTCTCAGAGAAGGCACATATGCAATGGAGACTGCCTGACCCCCCACATCAGCAAGGATCTTTCGAGCAGCTGGAAGAAGGTACAAAAAGAGACAGTGACATCAACACTTGGCCTCTTCGCCCCCATCAAATCTCAATCATCTGGAAGACAAAGACTTTGAACTAGGGAGATTGGTCCCAGGCTGGAAGGGAGTCCAGTCTGTGAATTGAGGAACTGTAAGCTGCCTGAAACATATACTGGGGTGAGAAACTGCTTGATTCAAATCTCACTTAGTTTGCTGAAGTTAGAATTTAGCCTGTGTTTCTATTTTTATTTCTTAGGTAACCAACTTTGATCTCTATGCCTATTTATAGTCACTTGAAATCTATCTTTCTGTAGTTAATAAATCTATTTTATATTTTATCTAAAACAGTGCGTTTTTGGTTGAAGGGCTTGGGGAATTTTAGCGCAGCTTAACAAGGGCCGTTGCCTGTCCACTACCCTTTTGTCGGAGTGGGGAACTTATTAATTAGCTTTCGCTGTCCAGGGGAATCTTGAGCAATGTAACATAGGACATTGCTGGGGTCACTGACTGGTGTCTCTCTCTGTATGATTCATGAGTGGCTCAGAGAGCATAATACAGCTGGGTGTGGGGCTCCAGATACTGATGGTTGAGAGATCACAGTTACTGCAGGGGTGTTGCTGCTTGTCACTGACATAGCTTTGTGAGAGACAACCCAGGCTAGAGAGTTAAGGGGACGAAGTGGTCCCATGGTTCCAGGTTGTACCTTAGGGATCCTGTCACAATCATCTGACCTGCTAGTGATCAATACTCTTGAGAATACTTGTTCCACAGGTCATTGGGAAAACTTCAGCTCCCTGGCCTTTTTATTACAAGAGGACATTTATGTAGCAGTTTGACGGAGAATTAAAGCACACAATCCATTTACTTAAGAATTGTAAATACCATTACAAAGATATCATGGTTAGCAGTGTCCCAACAGAATGTATATAATATATACACACAGTATGTCATACCTGAAACACCTTTTCCCACATACCTGGGATGTAATGCTGAAAAAAAATTAATTGGTTGAAAACATCTTGGACAAGTTGAAAATGATCTCACTATATTATAGTATTCAAGTTGTCCACGACATTTTTAATCAAGTTAAGTTTTTCCAACATTGTTGTCCAAACTTAGGACAGTGAGAAGAAAAGTACTATGAAAAACATGCTTCTGTCAGTTTAAGAACACAATTACATACAACATTCATTCTTCATTTTGCTGTGCACAACAATTAATGTTTATTTCCATCTGGATTAACCCCTTTGCTGCTTGCCATCATCCAAGTAGTGTTCCTCTGAAATCAATGGATATTTAGCACACAGTAGGCAGCAGTTAAAGAATTAGACGGAAAGAAGCATTGTATTATTCAAGAGGATTAGAATCAGCATTCCACTTTGTAGCTGCACTTGACAGCAATACATTTGTATAGTTCATACCTGTTGCAGCACCACATAAATGCTTTCCAATTCCTACCACAGGAAGCTTTTCTTTTTTAAGAATAGGTACTTTATCTGAAAGAAACAGAACCTGGATTACCGGAGCTGGACACCATCTTGCTGGGTTATGTCATTCCAGCACAAGTAACTGAAACAATAGGTCAGAAAACTCAAGTAAAATTCCTCCCTCAACACCTTTATTATAAAAAAAACTTCAACTGTCTGCATCTCCAAAGGGTAGCTAGTGTTATATCACACAAAAAGATAAGATGGAAACAAAATACAGTCCAATTTTCATTAACTGAAAGGAATAGCTATATAGTATGTTTAAATAGCATATTTAATTTTTTCTTCCTTATTTTTAAACAACTTCAAATTGTACAAAGGGAATAAGTTTAACTTAAAAAGGGACTTTTTAAAATCATTCATTGTTAGCACCTTGGAAATAAAACTATTTTCCTTTCTGACATGTTCCCTTCTAGTCTACACACATTATATTATGTTCCTAGTACAGCAAAAGTCAATGCTTCTCTTTGTACACCAGTACAAAAGCAGAAAAGTACAAAACTCTGAAAATAGTTCTTGCTTACTGTGGGGAGTTCAAGCTATTTGTGGTATGTCTCCTCAATAAATAAATGAATCAATCCAATCAGTCAAGACTTTATTTAGATGTAAGATAATTTCCTAATAGACAGCAATTCAACATCTGTCAAATACTAAAAAAAACCCCGCAATACTCTAGAAGATACCATTCATACATTGCAGGCCAACTTGATCCATATATTGAATAGTAGTAATAATCTATATCTGTAGAGCCTTCCAGCTATAGATCTCAATGCAGTTTACCAACATCAATTGATTTAGACCAGGGATCGGTAACCTTTGGCATGCAGCCTGCCAGGGTAAGCCCCTTGGCGGGCCAGGACAGTTTGTTTAGCTGCAGCGTCTGCAGGTTCGGCCGATCACAGCTCCCACTGGCCGTGGTTCGCCGCTCCAGGCCAATGGGGGCTGTGGGAAGCGGCAGACAGCATATCCTCGGCCTGCGCCACTTCCCGCAGCCCCCATTGGCCTGGAGCTGCCAACCGCGGCCAGTGGGAGCTGCCAACCTGTGGATGTGGCAGGTAAACAAATCGTCCCAGCCCTCCAGGATCTAAATCATGCTGGCAATACATTAGATTACATTGGTTAAGCATGTGGTAATCACTTTTATCCATTTAACCAATGAAAGTTCTGTTCATCACCATAAACCACCCACTAAACTTAACACAACTTCTTTTGAGTGTGGTATTGCAGAATCCCCACGTGTTCATCGTTAATAAGGACATCTGAGACTTGCCTCACTCAGTAATGATACTTGTATCAAAATACAGCACAGCTAAAATACACAAGTAAAAGCATCTAACCCTGAAACTGTTAAGGCTTCCTTTTATTTGGTGATTCTGACCCAAAATAAAGTCTTATAAATTCAAGATAACTTGTACACATATTGTTAGAAATTATATAATACCCATCTAGTAACTGAAAAACAAAAGTACAACATAAAAATGACCAAAACACCGAGAAAAGTCTTCTAAACATTAATGTAATTAACCTATACTTAGTGTAAAATTTTCCTGCACTCTGGTACTACACAATCAAGTTTTTAAGCAACCATCTTAGTATTGCTGAAAGTTATACAAGCCAAGTAGCAACTTACTTAAACATAAGTTCTGGATATCAACTTGAAGCCTTTCAAATATGTAGTCTCTTTTTCTGTGTTTACCATCTACCTGTGCAAATAGGATATCACAT